TGCTGATTTTCTCCTCCTGGATATTCCAATTCTGAGCCAGAAAAATGACGACAACTAGATTATCCAAAAAAACGAATAAAACTATTTTATAGAGGAGAAAGAGCTCTTTCGAATGAGTATATACACTTCGCCAAAAAACAAAGCGAGTCGTTGTAAAATGACCCTAACACAAAACTCTACGAACTTATGTTACAACCCAATAAAATGCCAAATAGCTGTCATATAGAAGTAAAACGAGTATGAATTTTGGTAAGCGGTAGTAGAATTGGCCACACTGGCACTGAAAACTGGTAACAGTCTTCCCATATTAGTCCTGAACATCGTGTAGTAGCGCCGATTGACTTCGACTGTGGCCAAAGCGGATGACAACTACAAACCCTTTTTGAAAAAAACGATTTATCTGTTTTTCAGAAATGCAGCCAAAAGGTCATGTTTACTTGAGTTCTATAAAGCAGCTCGCTAGAAAGTTTGCCAAGTATAAATGCACCATAAGAACTTGGCATGTGAATGAGTAGCCAAAATGTTTACATAAATCTAAAATTTCATTCCGTACCATGGAGCAGCGAACACTCGGATATAACTAGTTACAGTTTGTCTGGCTTATCAGAGAAGAAAAAGTTGAAACGTGGACGATAACCGTTGAATCCAATTTCAGCAGGATTCGTGAGGCATTCACCACTATGTAACCTTTTCAGGCTAGTCGGATTCCGTTGACGTTCGTCGTAATGCTGATCGTCATGACTTTGCTGATTGTCATCGACCGTGGTCTGTATCTTCGCAAATGGGTCTATGGAAAACTTGCCTACCAACTAGTCATGATCGTATTCCTTCACATTTGGATCTTTTTCCTGTTACCATACTTGACTCGACGGTAAGTGCCCTGAAATCTTCGAGAAAACTTGATCTGATGATAACTGTACAAGAATTGAGCGCTTATAATTAGAGTTTGCGTCTTTTGAGGATGCGCCGCGCATTTTTTTCACTATTTGGGAAGCGTCTTCCGAGTATCTTTTCATAGATTGTAGATACCAAAAATATCAAAAGAGAAGTGCAAAAGACAGAGGGGAGCAAAGTGACATCGATCCTGGGTACAAAAGATTGGCTATTTTGGATGGGATGTCATCCATTATGGGTGAATGTGGAACAGTTGCAAGTTGTACACAATACGTATGGTCCAAGGTTCATGTCACGAATTGATGCTCGCTTGGGCCTACCAGGCCTTACATCTCTTAATAGTTGGCTTATTAGTACCAATCCCGTTGAGGGAAGTAAAATCCCAGACTTGTACGTCGACCGGTCATAGCAGATTTTTGTGTAGGCTGAATACTTATTCAAAACGTCACTACGATTCTGATGGGAGTCTAAGGCGCGGCGCATCCCAGAAGCGGGAATGCGAACGCTGAAGGCTTCATGTTTCTAGCCCTTATATGATTCTAGCTTTGTTCCATAAACCCCGCGTTTCAATTACCACGGTCCCGTCTTCGCTCAAGTATTTACTCGACGTTATTTCAGTGCTGCTCTGGAAAATACTGTTGCCCAAGCGTTGTATGTAGTGAAATGCCTGTACCTCTTGGTATCTGCATGGCAAATACGTAACGGCTACCCGCAACTCTGCACCGGAAACCTTCTCACCCACGCCTACGGTTTGGCCAATATGGTTTTCTTCAAAGTGTGAGTTAACCTTGATCATTTTTTTTTGTAAAATTTCGCCAGTGACTGTGATCTTATCCATGAGAAATTCTTTGCTGTTAAGGTTCATGCTGGTCCCATTCCTTTTCGAACTTCGTACGGCAATCGACTGGACTTGGACCGATACGTCGATGCCGCTGTTCGATTTCTTCAACATGGAAAACTTCTATGCTGTGATTTATAATTTGAAATGTGCACGGCAGTTTGAGCAGGTAAGAGCCTTTCTGGGCGTTTTCTTGGCATATTTTATTGTTGGAAAAGAGCATGTTAAGTATCCAACGTGGTGGAGCAGAATAATCCCTTCTGAAGGCTTGTTTTTCCGAATGGGGTTGTCCAGGCAGTCTATCCTCTGATTTGCTAGTGTTAAAAAGTAGAAATAGGTCGGATACCCCTACCCTACCACTCTTAAAAAGTGAACGGGGCTGTTTTTAGTAAGCTTTGGGTGGGATTCAATGAAATTCATAATTTTTGGGTTCCATGGTAAATCAATCCCGATTGGGGTAGGTGATGGAGGTTCCACACACTAGCGTTTCGGTTAGCGCTCATCCTGAACAGTCTGATAATTTCTGACCATTTTTGGATCTTCCTTTTATGTACATATATGATTATACGAGTTTTTTTTTTCAGAGTTATCCAGCTCCACGAGGTGTACCAAAAGGTGCTTTGGTCAAGTACTTGATGGGATTACCAATGATACTGCTAATAATATTCCTCGTTTGGTTCCCATTGCTGGCGTTCTCATTGTTGAATCGGATCGGTTAGTGATTCCTTCATTCTTCTGTCTCTTCAGTATTGTACTATGAATTGTAGGTGATATCTCGATTCCCGATCGAGTAATGATGTCGATGTCACTGGAGGGTTACCCGGTGAGCTACATTTTGTACTAAACCTTTACTGAAAATGTTTTTTAAGTGTGTACTGTCGGTTTCTTTAGCCCTTGTATGAGATCGAAGCTCAAGGATCCGAATTACGTCCAATGACATCGGATGAGTTGAAGTATCTGACGGACACTATGAGTCGGAGGTACTGTAACCATATTTTTTTAGATATTTTTCGTTTTGATTAAAAATCTTCTGTAGTCTCTAAGTTGTTTTGGGTTGATCAGCTAGATTACAGGTACTCTCCAAATGCTACCAGTTCGATGAAACGGTCACGAGATAGTGTATCGTTTTTGAAGGAGTACTCAACAGCTGATATACTGGTATGATTTTATGTGCCTTCAACCTCCTTTTTTTGAACTATTTTGGTTGGTAAAACATGTAGAACGCCCTCCCAATCACTTAGCCCTGTTCCTTTTTCTTTCATTAAGGCTCCTTCCTTGAACTTATTGTTAGACCAGATATCCCTTATACCGGCTTCATAAAGGTAGATTGGCGGTTGCAATGACCTCACTCATTGCAACCACCGTCAAACACAATGTACTAGGAGTTCTTGCCAGAGATCTGGCTGAACTACTGAATGGGTATTTGAGGGGTAGGGTACATTCACCCAGAACTGGATGGACGCTGCAAATCGCACGGCGAGATTCGTTGCGACTTAAACGACTTTAGCGCCAACCATTTGGGCCCAAATTTGAAATATGTAGAGTAGGTTGGTTCTATCAGCTGACCATACTAATCTACTCTACTTCAAGTTTGCCCCCCAATGATAGGTGCCAAAGTCATCCTAAACGCCACGAATCACGCCGCGCCACCTGCCGCGTCCATTCAGTTTTGGGTGGATGTTCCGTCCCCCGTATTTGAGCAGTATATTGACTTACGATGGGTGACCGATATAGGTGTTTTCTGTCATCCTATACGAGTCTGGCACCAATTAATCGACCCCGGAGAAATGGAAGGCATGGTCGGCCTATGTGAGATCGATCCGGGATCCGATCCCGGCCCTGAGCGTGTGTGTGTGACAATGCACCACTCGCCAATGCCATCTTACCCAGAGGCTATAAATTCTATCAAATTTTCCTTTCAGGTAGTCGATTTCCGTCCAGAATCTGAAGTAGCGTGGGCGATATCCGATGCTTCACACCTCGCGTTGATGTAAGTACTAGTATTGGCTTAGTTCAAATCTTTTGAAGCATTTGTCTAGTTTTAATTTGACGATTCATAGAATATCTCTTTAGAGAGCAGTTGAAAGGCAACTCATCGATTAACTTCATCGTGGTCGTGGAGTTCTCGCGACCGTACGATGATGCTAAAAAGGTTGAACAGAAGCACAAAACGCAATGGACAATCGAAATTGAACCACACAGCGAACTACGCTCGGATTGGTTGGAAGTTGTTCAGAATGAGGGTAGTGATAAAACGGTATGTAATTATTATTTTGACATCTGTTTCTATCTCAGTCACATCAGTGACAGCTGTTCAATCCAGAATTTTCTTCCAGAATTCTTTAAATTTGCCTTTCCCCTCATTTACTGGATTGATTGCAGTGTGATTTAACTACAGAATGATTTTTAGCGGGGAGGAGCATGTAGCCGAATGCATGCAGCGTCTTGTTTTCATTTGCTCTTTTTGTTTACTTGTTCGATTATTTTGTATTTATCCTATCTTACACGAAAGTAGGGCCTCAGTTGGCGAGGTAGCATAGGATCGGAACACAAAGGGTTCAGCTCCAACTCCTTATAAATCTGAAACCATAGGACAAAATCCTTGTTTCTGAACTTGGTAATCCTTGTTTCTGAACTTGATAAGGAGTGAAGTCCAGCGTTTGCTGAGAGCTCGATTTGTTCCGAACAGCTACTTACGGGTCCTTTGAAGAGCTCTTGAAAAAAGCGATCTTGGGCTTGAAGTTTGATTATTCTTTGAAATCCTTAATCGGGTGGCTCTCGCCGTTGAGATCCGTTCATTTGTTTGATGGTACTTTTCCACTCTCTGAACAGCTCTGAACAGCTCTTGCCCATCCGTGAACTATTTGCATTGGAATAGTTAAAAGAGAGGGGCCCAAGTTGTTCGGATCGGTTCCAATTGGAAGCTGAACTTCTCGTACCCTTCACTTGTGGATTTATTTCTAGGAGAGCTCCTTCATTTCGAGAAGAACTTGGTAGGTAACTACTAAATAAAAGTACCGTCGATTTGTTCCGAACAGCTACTTACGGGTCCTTTGAAGAGCTCTTGAAAAAAGCGATCTTGGGCTTGAAGTTTGATTATTCTTTGAAATCCTTAATCGGGTGGCTCTCGCCGTTGAGATCCGTTCATTTGTTTGATGGTACTTTTCCGCTCTCTGACCAGCTCCGAACGGCTCTTGCCCATCCGTGAACTTTTTGCATTGGAAAAGTTAAAAGAGAGAAGCCCAAGGTGTTCGTACGGGTCCCAAATGGAAGCTGAACTTCTCGTACCCTTCACTTGTGGATTTATTTCTAGGAGAGCTCCTTCATTTTGAGAAGAACTTGATGGGTAACTACTAACTAAAAGTACCATTTTCAGATAATGTTGCCGAATGCGTTCCCAAGCTACTTGCTGGTTCCGAGCGAAGGCGCTATCACCGTTCCGTCGCCAATCGTATCAGCAATTCAATATAACCAGGACAATTACCAACGGCCAAGCAATGCATCAGATCGCGATTGGTTCGACTCTGTCGAACTGTCATTGATGAATACAACGAGTGGTGTAAGTAGCCTTTTTCTTACTATCATTTCT